ACTACCCGCGCGTCCACAGCTACCACCACTACTCCAAGCATCATACGCTCGGGAGTACCAACGACAGCGTCCACGCTCCGTCAGAACACAAACACACGTAACCTCGCTCCTCCCCGACCCACAGAGGACGCCTTCCCCTCGTTGCCTGCTGCACCGAAACCAAACACTATGATGGCCGGCTTCAACACGCGGGGTTCAGTGAGATGGTTCGGGTCAGCTCCCGGATCAGGCACCACTACACCGGTGAATCCGTGGGGAAACGGAGGGCTCGCGCCCACACCAGCACAAGCACAGGCATCTGGAGCTGCCAGTGCAGGTCGCCCGGAAGGAATCGGCGACAACATCGACGATGGTGAAGGGGCTTCATCGGGGAGAAGAAAAGGAAAAAAGGGAAAAAAGGGAGAGACGTTATTTCATTTTGGATAGAAATCGTCAAAGAAAGCCCGAGGTAACATATTGATGAAGCAAAACGTCGCTGGCACGGCACGAGTTGTGGACCACCTTTCCGCATCAGGGGAAAGTGAGACAGAACACGAGGCACTTTGCTCACTGGTTTTCGTGATCGCCCAGGCGGAGTAGTGGAACACACTGGACGATTGTCAAGTCACCAAGGGAAAATCGTGGCGACAATATGAACAAATGAGAATGTATGTTCCATCTCAAGGCAGTACAAGCACGAGCGTCATATTGCAGGAACGAGATTCAAGGTTGAAATCCAGCTCTCACCCCAATCCTGTGTTCTTTGTTGTCTCAGCTGGCCCTTGGCTACCTGCATGTTCAGTCTGTAGCTCTGGCACAAGTGGATAGTTGATTGCATGTTTCTGTGTCAGTCCCTTGGTTCTTCGCCCAGTCAGCGGCCTTTCAATGACCCATTGCCTCGCCCTTGACGTACGGGGCGCACGTATAATCAACATCGTACTGAAGGTTGCCATTCCAGAACTCTCCGTCTCTCTCCAACTGATCCATTATTCTGATGGCACTCTTGACATCGGTGAATTCGATCGATACACAGCCATCTGGTGTGTAGCTGTACTCGACGACGTGTTGAGCATAAGGTGGCTTGATCTTGTATGGAATCATGTTGTAGGTGTATTCGTCTATGTTGCTGATGAGGATGATTCGGGATGCAGCAGCCTTGCCAAAAATGTTTCGTTCAAGCTCATCGTTTCGGGGATAGGTTGGATCTGTTGGCATCCAGCAGCGAACAGCAACTCCCTTTATCTTAAACCACTTCGAGTCAGTGGCTTCGCCTGGTACAGCTTCTTGATGTTTGATCATGTTGTGTGCAGATTCCTCATAATTGAAGACGACTCGAGCAGTCATGAAGGTTGTGACTTTACCGATACGTGGAAATAGTTGGATGGACTCCAGGGAACCACCCTTGACAATGCTCAGCACCTCCGGCAAGGTACTCCCGACTGGAATCTCGTCGATCATTACAGTGCGATAAGCGTCTGAGGTCCCAGCTGCGTCCTCGGGAAGGTAACGCACTGGATGGTCCATGAACGGGCTGTTTTGGCGCCAGGAAATCCCACATTCCCCGAGGGCTTGCCGCTTTTCTTGCTCACTTTCAAAGACAGGATTGTCTCTGTTGATCAACCATTTCGGCTCCCCGCGAAGGTTGTCACCGACCTGTACCGTGATGCGACATTGTGACTGAGCTGCGGCAGGAGAAACCACGTTGTTGGCTAGCTGATCATCGTGATCACCAGTGAGAGACGACGATGGGCGAAGCTTGCCATAGGACTCATTGTTCGAGGGCTTACTTGGTGAGTCCTGAAGCAGGAACGCCTCACCTTTTGTTAGGCCTACACCGTTTGACTATGGACGGTTAGTAACTCTTGACGGTAGTAATATTGAACAGACCTTTTCCTCCAGGGCCTGCGCCTTTGGATCAGTAGGTTTTTGCCCGTACTTTGCAATGAATGCTGCAGGCTGAGTCGTGAGTTAGTGTAAGCTTCCTACTCAAGATCAGCGACACGAGACTCACCAGCTCAAGGACGGGGTTTTGCGCAGTCTGCCATTATCAGTTGACACTCATCGAGGACGCTTGCATCCTACATCTCACTTACCAGAAGGCGAACTTGATTTAGGCTGACCGTTGTAGCTTCCAGTCGTCGTTGAATATCATCTGAAGCGTTAACGGTGGTTTCCTTCTTTGATGCCTGCATGTTGCGCTTCGCTTCAACTTCTTCCTTCTCCATGACTTCTCCGACTGACTCTGGGGAGATATCGATGAGCTTGGCGATACCAGGACGACGTCTGGCAGGAGTCGCTGGGGGATTGCCGTCTTCTCCGTTGTCCTCGATCGAGAAGTGCTTGCGAAGAGTGCGCCGTAAAATAGAATCGGCAGAGTCGTCAAAAGTTGGCTTTTTTAGCAGGTCCAGATTGTAGAGCTGTGCATCATCAACGACATCGCCAGACGGAGGGACCGTCACATCAACAGCGTTCTCCTTGGCTGACAAACAATTTCCGGAACGTTCTTCTCCTGCATGTTGTTCCATTTCTTTACGCCCATGTCGACCCTTGGCGGCGTCTTTGACCTTCTGATATTCACGGTAAAACTCCCTTAAAGCTACCTCCTCGTCCTCCTCCGATGGCTCGGTCTTTTGCCGTTCCTTGGTAGTATCTCCACGACCCTTACTTGCGTTGTATTTGATTATGGCTCCTAGGGTGTTGATCGTGGTTGTCATGCTCGCAATCTGTCGTCTGCTTTTCTCGAGCTCATCTTCCACCTCAACGCGCTGCTTAATCTGTTCGACCAAAGCCGCTTTGGTCACATTGTGAGCTTGCTGCTCATTTGTGAGGGCCACAAATAACGTTTGACTGAAAGAAGTTGAGTCGGATGGGTTCTGGCTGGCGAACACCCCTGCTGCTGTGAATGTGGTGGATGTCGGATCCATCACTGGATTTGGACCCTGGGATGACAGCACTTCTGAGAACTGCACACAATCAGCAAAACTAAGACAAAGACAGCCAGGTACTGAATGCAACTCTGAATGCACACTTACGTTCAAGGTGTTATTTTGTTGGTGTCGCCTCACGGTTGCACCGGGTTCCTGCTGTAACTGAATAACGGAGAGCTTCTTTGTCGGGCTTGCAGCACCCTCGACAGCAGAACGCAGAGCTGCAGGACCAAGTCGCAGGCGGGAGTCACCAAGGTCGGGCTGGATGTGTTTGTTAAAGAAGTTTGCATCGGCCAGAGAGGATGTTGGGAGTGAAACAGACTTTCCAGGTGACTTGTCAGTGAAGGCATTGGGTTTGTCCGTTGAAGAGCCTGCCGTAAGAGGTGCTGCACCATGATACAGCCTCCGGCAAAGCTGCTGTTCCAGGTAGACCTTTGCCGAGTGGGTGAGGTTCGAAATATTGCTGACAGGATCGACAGGAGTGAACTTGAAGCTGCCCAGCTGCGACTGGTTGAGGTCTTGACGCTCCATTGGTGGATACTTGAAAAGCCGCTCAACTGTCTTGTTCAGAGCCATGGCAAGCTGCTGCTATGAAAGCGAAGACGAAGCACATGGGACGAGGAAAAAGAAGAGGATCGAGGGATAATGCTCAACCCGATGAAGCCAGCATCTGGGAGAGCAGGTGCTGAGCACCAAACGGCAAGGTTCGAGAAATGTTGAGCGAACAGCGGAAAGAGCAGCCTTGTCCGCACAGCTTCATTATTGCACCGCAAAAAAAAAAAGTCTTGTTAACAAGAAGTCTTCACTTACCAGTACCTCCTCCCGCCCATCGAGGATAGTTTGAGTGATCTCCTTGCATCGAAAACCCCTCTGGCATCATCTCCTTTCCCAAAGCCACGTTTCGTCAAATTTCGTCAAATTTCGCCATGCCCCTCGGTTGGAGCCATGGGGCATGAGGCTTCAGAACATCACCGAACCTATTGCTTCCCAGCATTTACAAGTTTATTGGGCCCGGCGCCGCATTTGCTGCTCACAGCGAATCTGGCAGGGAAATATCAATGTCCTCGTAGATTGAACCCATCGAACTATCGCCTGCACCGGAAGCTCCCTCGTCTGCGAAACCAAAGCTAAAGGGAACCTCATACCCGAGAGACCAACCAAGCAGCTCATGACTTTAGCAGCTCATGAGCCGGGGTGACAGTGTCAATAAGACAAGAGATGGTGGTGCAAATAAGATCGGGATTCTTCTCCAGAGGCCGATGCTCATATGTTCTGGAACTTGCGGTAAAGAACACCGGTTGCCCGTGTCCACAAATGCCGATGGTTTCACAAGACTTGCATGAGAAGATCAGGCGACGTGACACTGGGCCACCCTCCCGTTCAACCGAAAGTCGCTGAAGCACATGAGATCACCCCCTCGAGCGAATCATCTGTTCCACAACTGTCCATCTTCCGCCTGAATGGTTAAGCGGAGCGAGAGGTTACAAGCATCAGAGTCGCAGCGGCCTTGTTGCCCTGCAATGAGTGTGGCAACATCGAGGGTGCTGACAAGCCCACATCGTCCACCCGGCGAATGACCGTTGGACTCCCGCCTTGCCTTGGCTGACAACATCCACCAGTCGCGGGGAGCTTCTAAAGCTTAGAAGCCAGTGAGTGCTTGATTCAGTATCTTCTAGCGCGTCTTGGGCGCGGGAAGCTTAGAATGACTCTGATGCTGTTTATCCTACGATCGACGTCAATGGCTGGTTCACATTTGGTCGGGGATCCACACCACGATCAACGCATATCCATCAACCACGTTCTTTTCCTCCACGAGTCAACTGCTCCCAGCCGTCAATCACGGAACTAGGACATCATGATGATTGCATCTCTCCTCTTTCTGAACCAGGATATCTACCCCGGACCGCCCCCTGCGGGTTGTCCATCGGTAAGCGGTCGCCCTCCGTTGCTCCAGATTAAAAATATCCTTTGGTACAGTCTGTGCGACCCGTCCGTCCCTTTCCTTTATTATTTTGGACAAAATCGTCTATATATACCGTGTATCTGTTCCCGTCGTCTTTCTCCACACCAAGTATCTGTTTGCAGCTCACGACCATGGAAAAAACCGATCCCAAGGTCTCCGATTCCGACGATGCTCGTTCTCCTTCAGAGAATGAGAAACATGTCGAAAGCGGTGTTCCCGTTGATGTCATCGCCGTGCCAGATCCAGATGAAGGTCTGAGTGAAGAAGAGCGAAAGCGTATTGTATGCAATACATGATCTTGCCGACTGACAGATGAACTGATAGTCTACAGGACCGCAAACTGCTCTGGAAACTCGACATCCAGCTAATCCCATGGCTTTGCTTACTCTACCTGATTTCCTTCTTGGATCGAACCAATATTGGAAACGCCAAGATCGACGGGCTTCAAGAAGACTTGGACCTGACCAACAACGAATACAATGATACCTTGACCATCTTCTTCATCTCGTATTCGCTGTTCGAGCCTCTGACACAGATTTTGTTGAAACGATTCCGGCCCTCTATTTTCCTCCCTACGATCATGATTCTATGGGGTAAGTAGGTTGGATATAGGCAAAGATTCATTGTCTCCATTGTCTCCGTTGTCTTTCGGGGTTCCGTCCCAATCTGAGCCCTACTGATCAAAATTCTCAATCTCCAGGTATCTGTATGACCACAATGGGTCTCGTTCACAACTTTTCCGGTCTCATGGCAGCGCGATGGTTCCTCGGTTTAACTGAAGCTGGCCTTTTCCCTGGTAAACCAAATGCTCGAGTTGCTCAAGATTCTCTCTGACCTCACAACAGGCGTCAATTACTACCTATCCTGTTGGTACAAGCGCTCTGAGTTCGGTATTCGAGCGGCCGTCTTCTTCTCGGCGGCAGCCCTCGCTGGTTCATTTGGCGGCTTGTTAGCTGCAGCTATTGTCCAGATGGATGGCGTCGGAGGCAAGCCGGGCTGGGCATGGATCTTTATCCTTGAAGGTCTTGCAACGATCATCGTTGCTGGACTGTCATATTTCATGGCAAGTTTCATGGCGTCAGTCTAAGGAGGACGCTCACAGCTGATACATTGTAGGTCCACGACTTCCCCGACGAAGCCAAATTTCTCAGTGACGATGATCGGCGTCGAGTGATCCGGCGCCTAAAACTTGACAAACAATCCAGCGCCGAGCATGAAGAATTCAGGATGCAGTATTTCTGGGCCGCGACCAAAGACTGGAAGACCTGGACTGGTGCCCTTATATATATGGGCTGTGACGGCGCGCTCTATGCATTTTCTCTCTTTTTGCCCACAATTATTCAGCAAATGGGTTACAAGAGTATACACGCGCAATTGCTTAGCGTGCCACCTTATGCTGTGGCCGCGGTGGTTACGATTACTGTCGGGTTTGTTGCGGATCGGACCGGGAAGAGAGGTTTGTCTCCTTTTTTCCTACTGCCTGTGTCCATTCTCCAATGAGAGGCCCTTTCGCTGACGCTACAATCAGGCTACTGCAATATGGTCATGTCCTTGTTCGGCATAGTAGGTTTCGCCATGCTTCTGGGCTCGGGAGTACCGCACGTTCAATACGCGGGCACTTTCTTGGGCGCCATGGGAATATATCCGTGCATTCCGAATACGATCACTTGGACGGCGAACAACGTCGAAGGGGTATACAAACGAGGAATTGCCTTGGGTTTCGTAATTGGATGGGGTAACCTGAACGGTATGTGAAATGGCGTCCCCGCCAATTTCCCTCTGCACATTGGATCCTCTGTCTCCCTCTACAGAGGTATCCCAGAGCGTTACTATCTTGCTCCACAGTATTGAGAGTTACTTCAAGGTACAAATTCTGACAACGTTGGATAGGAATCATGTCTAGCAACGTCTACCGTGCAGAAGACAAGCCGCGATTCAAGCCAGGCCACGCCGTGGTTCTCGTCTACGAAGCTCTCTTTCTTCTAGGCGGCAGCATCCTTCAGCATATCCTATTGAGAAGAGAGAATGCCAAGCGCAGGGCGGGCGAAAGAGATGTGTGGATACAGGGCAAGAACGAGGAGGAGATTGATAAGTTAGGGGACCTGAGGCCAGATTTCATCTACACTCTTTAAAAGCACAGACGGAGCCGGTGGAGATAACAGTGGGGTTTTGATGAGAACTTTGGGGGGTAGCAAGAAGAGGGCAACTTCGAGTGTCGTGTGAGCAGGAGGGACACCAGTACACCATTTGTCGCAAGCAAAGATTTGGATCGAAGGATACTAGCCAGAGGACCATCCGAGTGCGATTCGGATTCTGCTCCAGGAGGGTAAACGGAACAAACTGTGCCAGGGCAGGTATTGCCATGACAAGCAACCACAAAGCGAGTACCAGCAATCTCCAGCATGTAGTTAAGAATAGCATTTCCGTGCTCCGAACCCGGTTTTTAGTTCTCTCACATTGCGCCCGGCGGAACGGCTCTATTGGCGGTGGAACGGGATGTGCTTTAGCTAGGAAATCCTTCTGCGGCACGCAAGTATGCACCTATGTACATAGATAGCACGAACCGCCATGACTTATTCAGGAAACTCGATCTTGTTGTTCTTGAGCGAGTGGCGGAACCGGAACGGGCCGCATGATCCAGCCAACCTTGCCCATCAATGTGCGATCGACACCCATTCTGGGCACTACACTCCATCTCTAATCTCCATTGCGCCACAGGTCGGTCACCACAACAATCCACGGCATGGAGACCATTCTCTCTCTCTCTCTCTCTATCGAGTAGGTTGTTGTGATATTCTTTCCTTCTTGATGCGGACGGTTGCAAAACACAATCTGCAGGGTCCCGAGGTTGTTCTGTCGGCACTGTTTCTCACCAATCGTTACATCACTTCGTAGTCGTCTCTTCGTGCCGTGTGAACCCGTATCAGGACCAATTTGTGGGTTCGTTGCTCTTTGATCTCACGCGTGGTGAATCTATGCGGGGTGGTGACTTGGACTTTCGGCCTGGGTGAGGGGAGTTGCTGATGCTGCAACAAGTTGTTAGCCATCAGCTTCCCCATATCTGGCCCAGGTGTAATGGTGAAAGTGGAATCACACTTGACAAGGCATAAGGCAGAACACGGCTAGGACTTACGATCTTCTTCTCTCGCCCTCTCTGCGGAACTCCTCGATGATGGATAGCATCTCCTTCCTGCCGGCCGAAGCATCAACCCTTCTGTCACCCAGACTCATGCTAACCTTCGCATCTGTTCTGACCATCAGAAGTCTCTTGAGAAGTAGATGCCTCATGTTAAGACAGACAAACACCCCACAATCGCTCGAGTTATCCTGCAAGGGCGAGTCGGTCAATTGGATGAACCGAAGAGGTTTGTTGATCAATCGAGAGAGCTTTTGGGTAACGTAGTGCGCCTCATGCTGGTTGCCGGGGGGCATGCTGTCATAATGGAAGGCGACGCCATCAACAATGGAGACCAACAGCAGTGACCAATGAGTGCCGCCTTCAGCAATGGAGGCTGAGTGGTTGTCGTTGATGGGGAGGAAGATATGTGAGACGTTGGTGAAGTCGGGGAGAGCGTCCTAGAAGGCAGTTCAGCGTGATAAGAGAGATCGCAGGGAGATGAAAGGCCAACGGCAGAAATACCTTGATCGTCCGAGGATCTGGGGTCTGCATGAGCATGAAGGACATGGTAGGGCGGAGGAGGACAATATGCGAATGTTTGTAGTGAGTGAGGTACTCTCGCTCCAGATACCTTGTAGAGAATGCTCGTTAGGTCTTATATCTCTCTCAGGTGAAGTGTGGAATGTGCCTACTCTTCCCAAAATGAGATGACCTGTACAGACACCAAAGTCGTCAGCCTGACCAGCCTCAGTATCGTTGTGAGGGATATCATCATACATTGTCCGTCAACCAGTCATTCTTCAACACTGATATGTCTTCTCTTGTCACTGTATCCTCTCTTCGTCTCAGTACAATGTTCTCTGCCATGGAAAAACCCAGTCGGGGACAGGTATGGGGACGAAGGGATACCGACATCGGACATCGTAGTCTGTTTGACTATGGTCAGCATGGAATATGTGAAGAAGATCGGAATCACCCACAGCTCAAGTACGCATCTTCAGGGGCAAGCTTCATGTTCAAAAGGTGTCAGTCAACTCATACCACCACTACTCGCTGTGACGCATTTGAGGAGCGGCAACGATATGCTGCCATGGTGGGGGTTGAGACCGCGCACGAGTGCGAAGCATGATGTCTTTGTCAGCGCACCTACCGATCTGCCAAATGCTCGGCTCATTCGCCCTCCAAATGGATGGAGATCAGGCATCGTGGTCGACCTTTCGGTTGTCTGCGCAAGGCGTACCAAGGAATGAATAGAGGTCGTGCGAGAAGAGTGAGACTGTAGAGGCGGGATGGATGAGAGCTTCGCCGCGCTCACCAGTCAGTGCCAGCTTGATGATGGTTCATACTGAAGCCAAGGCAGGGACAAATAAAAGGGTCTATATAGTGACTCCAACAAATGCCTTGTGCATTGAGCGCCTCTCGCGGTCAAAATGTTTGTTCGGCGACGAGGAGTGTAGCCCCGTTCCACCACCTTCTGCACAGTCCCTTGTAGACGTGTGTGCAGATTGGTTATACGTCACCTCCGACTGCACAGCCACCACAGCCTCAACCTCGCCAGGCTCCCGCACCCAATAAATCGAGCCCATACGCATACATCGTTTACGAAGAGTTCATACAGTCTACCTTGGGACGGAGCAAGCAGGCTGTCGGCATCTTTCAAACTGTGCTTTTCATATTCTCTCTTCGGTGAAGAGCGTGTCCAACTACAAGGTTCCCTCGACCCTGACAACCCCAGCTGCCTTCCATCAAGTCATGGCCTATTTTCCGGTAATACTGTACAATTGCTCCCCACCTTTTTGCTTTTGTGGTACATGTGAACACCGACCGCCCCTTAGAACCGCTCGAACGCTAGAAAGACAAACAAACTAGAAGATAGAAAAGCCCATCCTTGACCCAGGCCAAAACCGGAAATCGTCCAGCCACGCCCCGTATCGGTTAAAATACACAAGCATGTTCTTATAGAGGTCCCAGATGGTCTCCCATGAGGCAAGAATAACGGCCTGCGTGCATTGAGTCAATGATCCATGTATGCTCTGAGTCGCCTTATCCAAGATCCTGCCTTGAGATAGAAAACTGTGTGCCTCCATCACCACTTTATGTCGCCAATTTCGCGAAATGTTTGTTCCAGATCCAGCCAATCTCTCTCGTGGGATCGTCTTGATTGATCGCCAACCACAGTTCTCCGTGTTCGGCAATGATGTCAAATATCTCCCCAATCACATATGTGAGGTAGCGAAATCCGCCTTGTTGTCGTGAGCGGTCGATGTTGAACTCGTAGACACTAGCGGCGGTGAATAGGACGCCAGGCTCTCGTCGTGGCTCTGTATCCACAGGTGCTGTCTCTGTTTCCGGCCCCGGGTACTCTTCCATGGGCATTGCGGAAGAGAACACACTGGCTCCACTTGTGACTGGTAGATGAGGTTGTGACTGACTTGGCCCTGGAGTTGCGGAGTAGAATGTAGATGACGATGCATGTCGTACCGCCATGGGAGACTCAGTCAATAATTCACCAAGTGATGGAGATGGAGCTTCAAAGCTCAACCGGGGAGCCGGTTGGGCGCTGTCTGCGGAGAGTCCTGGACTAGTCCCTGGTCGAGATATATTCGTGCTGTTGACGGTATGAAGAGACGCAGATACACCACGACTTCCCGCCTCGGGTGTTTTTGGAATTCGACCAGATGCAGCTGAGCCGGTCCGAATGCGCCCATTTGCAAATGTGGAGGAACTCCATTCCGTGTGGTCGTCACTTTGAGAACTCATCGGTCCCCCACTGTTCCGGTGATAGTAGTCCTTCAATGGCACCGGGGGCATCTCTTCAGAAGTTGACACAGACCGCTTCGGTGCGCTGTTCCATGACGGTTGACGCGGGGACTCATCGCCCATCAAGGTTGACCCTGGCGTTAAGAACGAAACCATGTTCACGGCCTCTGCCAGCAATGACCCATTGCAGATGCTCAGGGACAATGCAGTGGCTTCTTGGAAATCAAAGTCTTCTTGCCAGTCTTTGACAATATCGGCCTTTTCAAGTTTGTCCAAGGGTATCTCCATTGCAGCCGAGAACTTTTGCCGGCACATTGCCAACCAATTCAGATGCAGCTGAACAAGATTGGCCTGACAAGTGTGAACAAGATCAGCCGTTGATCGGAGAAGTCGCTTCATTCTCTCTTTGGCTTCGAGGTTCAGAGCCTCCCACTGCTCCATGCGCTCAGTCATCTTCTTATCGATCTTTTCTCCTCTGTCTTTCTTATTTTTGAATTGATTGTAGTCCAGAAGTCGCTTGTCCCGCTTTTGAATCAGTCCTTTGGAATCTGACCTAAACCTGTCAAGCATCGTGGCTGTCTTTTCCATGGGCTGGACAACACGCCTTGTGACTTGCTCATTGTGGTCGGGAAGTGCAATTGAATTGACGCCACGAACGACAATAGCAAATTGTCGAAGTTTGCTCTCGGCTTGTGCGTGGTTCGTGTGCCCAACATCGACCCATGCCTCAGCAGCGGCTGCTAACTCACACAGGCGATTGACCCACTTGGTAATCTCTTCAATATAGCCTTGACAATCCTTGGTGACCAAGAAAAGATGTGCAATGTTGTTATCATAGCTGATCTTGAGTTTGGTATACTCCGGATCTTCGTGCATTTCATTGATGCCCACGTGTTGCCTTAACTTTTCTGCGCGTCGACCAAACGCCTTAGTCAAACCATTCCGTACATCAGACTCTTTCCGCTTGCGGTTGAGTACCTGATCGACAAGCTCGGTATGTTTCTTTACTTCGTTGATCCGCACATTGACCTCGGTCACCTCAGCTACTGCTCTTCGGATGCATTCAACGTCGGGATGAGCATTGGGGGTTGCATCTAGCAGCTGATTGAGTAAGAGGGGATACTTGGTGATACGTTGTATTGGTTTGACAAGAAGTGCATCCAAACTCCAAGCGTTGGTGATGTCGCTTGAATTCTCGCTGCATTCTTTGAGCCATTCTCGTACAGCGGCCGACGACTGCAGTGCCTCCAACCTCTTGTTTGCAGCATGTCGAGTTCGAATGTAATCGGTATATACTTTCTCCATATCGTTCATCGACGCTTCAAACGCAGTGCCCACCCGTGTAAGCTCGTCTCGCTCAAAGTCGGTCAGCTCACCAGTACCATCAATAGATGCTGCAGAGCTTTGTACTGTGGAGGCACGGTTACCGTCTTTTCGTCGATCAGATCTTTCCATGATGTAAGCCGGTCTGACAACCTGCTTTAGATAGGCGAGAAAATCTTTGGAAAACTGTTGTACCAGATCTACATTGCCAAATATGATCTTGATATCCTCGTCATTCATGGCAGCAATTGCAGTTTGTTTATAGATATCGCAGAGGACTCTCATGTCTCTTTCGTATGTATACTCGGTATCCACCAGCTCTTTGAGAACGTGTCTTCTTTGTTTCAGGCGACGTTGCTCGGGACTTTGCTCTTCCATAGATGGCCTGTTATCGTTGGAGATGGTATGTATCGTCTGTTGGTCTATGCTTGATCTGGTAGACATCTGAGATAATGCTGTGAGCGGCCGAGCCGGTGGAGCCGTTTGAGGCATGGCTGGTCTTATACCAGTGGGGGCAGACCAGGCAGTCTGTTCAACAGTGGGCAGTTTTGTCAGTGGAGGAGGTGGTGGAGAGTGGGATGGAGGGCGTGGAATATGATTCCTTTCAAGCGAAACCGGTAGAAAACCGTCTGGCGCCTGCTCAAGTTGGTTTTCCTTGACACCTTGATGACTTTCGGTCGTTGACATTCTAGATACTGCTTCAGTAGGCGTTTCGTGAGCCAGAGCAGATGGCTGCCTTTCTTCAGTCGGTGATTTCAGAGCAAACTGCATCCAATCACCGACTGATGGCGACGTCTCGGCCCAGTCTTCTGCACTATCCAAACTGGATTTGTATCGATGATGAGTTCGATAGCTCGAAGGTGGTATGGAGGGTGGCAGTGGGGTGACATGGCTCGAAGCGTGAATATCTGGAGAGTCAGTGGGATTCTCATCCCGCTCTTCAGTCGTGTCATGGCCAGCATACGGGTTTGCTTCGACGTGAAAAGACTCGGCTGATTGCGGACGTGAAGATTCGAGTTGGTCCCACTGACGAGTGTACTCTTCAAGTTCTTCCAGACATAGCCGCTGCACTTTCTCCTCATCGACATTCTCTGCGCTAGCTAAATCTGGGGAGGTTTGTATGATGCGATGATAAATATCATCCACGAGTTGCTGGTCGACCACCCCCGACGGCGTTTGTTGTTGGAGAACTTTATTCACGATTGTATAAGCGTCGCTTGCATGGTGCTCTCCATTCGAGCCATCTTCAACACTGAGATGATCTGACACTGAGTGTGAATCAGGCTCCACATGAGTGATCTCTTCTTCATGCTGGTTCTCTCGTGATCGAACGACGGGAGCAGGTTCCTCGCCTGCCTCAGATTCAAGTATGTCTTCTATGGACGATGTCCACGAGTTCCTTCCGTCGCTTTGCGGGTCTGTGTGCTCCAACTGGGGCATCGATACTAGGTGTGCATAACCTTTTTCTACAGCTTCATCGTCGTCGAGGTAGGTCGTTTCGCGAAGCATCAGATGAACAGATACCTGATCGGCGTGATCGGAAGCCCCCCCAGACGCTTGAGAAGCGGAGGATAGGGGCGAGGTAGACTCCCGACTCCGAAGTGCACTGATTTGGCTGTAAAGGGATTGAGGTTGCCCAGGAGTCTGGAGTCGCGAGGAATCCGTTTGCGGCTCAGCATCAATCATGGTGGCTTCAGTGGCCACAGTGCCCTCTGTGATCGCCGATTGAGGCTCGTGATCGTCACGTGCAGGTTGCAAGTGTGTGTTCAGGCTGAAAGGAATAGTGCTGAAGCCAGCCTCAGCATGACCAAGCGTAGGCGAGTCTACCTCAACGGACGAAGACTGTATGTTTCCTTCAACAACCTTTAAGGCGGTTTGGGTAAATGCCCGTTGATCCCGTGCACCTTCTTCATTGCCACTGTAGAATGCGTGCTCCTCGGCCGTTTCTATAGGAGCTTCGTTCACAATGACAGCAGGAACCTCAAGTGTTTCTTGACGTTGGTCGGATCCATCAGAATCATCGAAGGAAGGTGTCATACTGTCTACACGGCTGATTGAACTGTCAAGATTCTCTGTGTTTCCGCCTTTCAAATCTTGTCCTTCTCGAGACCGGCTCAAAGCCTGAGTGATTTTAAGTCGGCGAGCCTTCAGATCGATATCACTCAATTCTGGCGGCCTCTGTCGTCTGAAAGCTTTTCTGTCACTTTGTTGTTTGGCCATGGTCTGGAATTTTTCTGCCATTTTTGCACGAGACGCTGCGGTCGTGGCAGATGACACGGGGAGTCTCGGTCTCGAGCTTCTGAGGGGCGGGGAGACCTTCGGGGGAGGGGCGATGATATTCGCCCGAAGAGAAGGACTCTTTTCACCATTTGCCGTGGCAGGGAGGCGTCCACGGTTATTGGGGCTTTTTATTTGCACCGGAGATCGTGGCTGTCGCTTGGGGCTGTCCTGCTGTCGCTCTCCTGACGGAGAACGCCTTGTTTCCTTCGGTCCGGTTTCTAGAGCCCGAAAAGGGAGCTGCTGGTGGGGGTTAACAGCGGGACGGCTTGTGGGCGACATCGCTGCAGAGTCTGATGCAATACGTTGGTGCCTTGTGCTTAACGGAATCCGTGATTGTGCATTCGACTTCGAGGATGATTCTGCCGTGTGTCTATTACTGCTACCCTGAGGTCGGGAAGACGGCGTTTGATCTCCTCGCAAGAAAGCCTTGGACGGTGGTCCAGAAATATCGCTATTTGCTCGTCGGTGTGAAGGTCGGGACTGGGAATGGCCTCTATAAGCAGTGACAGAAGTGGGGGAGTGCATGGCCGGAGGTGCGATTGGAGGCGCTGCTGGTTGAGTATGGCCGCGGCTCGTTGAAAACATCGGGTTAGGGCTATGCATTGGCGATCCTTCCGAGCCTCGTCGCCGACGAGCATTGTAAATGCCGTAGCCTGGTGCAGCAGGAAGATTGGCTGCAGAGGAGGGAACCTCACCAAACAACAATTGCCGCCCAATGGCCGGGACTTCGGGATTGCTGGCTACTTGACTCAATCCACTGGCCGAGGATGTATCTCTCGAGTGAGTAGATTTCTCGTTCGCAACGGATCTGAATCCGAGTGCACTCCCTGCCCTCCTTGAAGTCTCCGAGACTCTTGATGACGGTCGCTTGACTTGAGGGTGATAAGAATGGGAGGTATCCACAGAGCCATATGGCATGGGGCTTGCGGTTCTCGAGGCGGGTCGGGATACTTGCTGCGTGGGCAATGGTGGAACGTCGTCAGGCGAAGCATCAAACCGAGCTACCAGGTCTTTGAAGGAAGCCTTTCTTGACTTCAGTGTATTGGGTACTGGTCCAGAAGATTTGGTGTGCCTGCCATCGTACGTACCATTAGGCAAAGTCTGGGTATTTAAGGATAATTTTCGAACACCACTTGAGCCCTTGGCTATCCTGTCGTCAGTGCTGAAGCTGGATTTTCGAGCCGTGACGGGTGGCTCTTCTGCTCGTTCAATTGGGTCTGGTCGTATGGCTTCCTGGTGCAAGGCGACAAGTGATGAGTGTGCAAAGGGATCCTGATACTGGCGGTAAAAATCGTGTGGGTCATTCTGGATATCCTCATTGCGAACAGAATCCAGCCTTGAGGCCGATCCTGAAGGGCCGGAGAGTGATGACGTCCTAGAATGCTGGAGCGCAGGTTGCGATGGGGAGTATGCTGTGGATGGGAGATAGACCAGTGATCGGTTAGGTGACTGGAGTTGTGAGCCGGTATTTCTGATCTGATCTGGCAAGTTTGTCTGCGACTGAGAAGATTGACGCCGGTGGTGAGCTGCGTAGTAGTTGCTCTGATTCGACACCGCTGAAGGCATGTTGAGAAGGCCCAAGTCAGGGAGAGACCTTCCTTCTTGGACGGTGATGGTGAGTACTACGGCGCGGAGGCATGACCCAGGCCAGACATGGTCAATTTATTGCAACCTTCTCTTTTGCTCTTCGTCCTGTCGCCAAGGTGTATTCCAACGATTCCTCCTCTTGTGCAAGACCTCCTCCACAGACACAGGTCGTTCAATGATCCTTCACCCGAGTGTTCAGGAGGCGGAACAGCCTCCGTATTTACCGGTTCTTTCACCAGGGAGTCTCTGGGCTCAGTCGATAGGAATAAATCGTCAACTATCTTGGTGGCTAGGAGGCGACGACAAGTCGTGGTGGATTGTTTGTGGTCGTTTCCTGTTCGGTTGACCGCCGGGACGGGGTGCGCAGGGACGTCTAACGTCTTGATTGCTGCTCCAACAAGGTCCGAGAGATGTCACGATCGCCCTTAGGTAAACTAGGGATACGACAAGAATCAATACAAGAGGAAAGTCTATGTTGGAGTGAACAGAGATGGCATGATCAGGCTGCGGTCCACGGTCACACAAGAGATATGATGGTACCAGTTGATGGAGGTTTGTGAATGTGCCAACTAACATCGGCCCAGCAAGCGCGGCAGAGAGTCACTGGCGGCGTGGGTCACTTAAAGTTCCTGTGCTCACTAGATGCGGGCTGTCCAGACAAACTACAGAGGCTCAAGGCGGGACACCTAAAGCTCCGGGGTTCAATAAGGTATCCAAGCATTGGTCAGTGGATAGGCGACGGTTTAGCGATAACAGACTACGGAGTACCTGAATCGTGAGCACCTCCTACAAGCCTCTACCCGTAAATCTCCCGCAGACTGATTCACATTGTTTGTCAAATGTCGGACATGGAAAGCAACAACAAAAGGATGGACCGATGAGTGCTCATTCCTAACCCTGGCCCATCCCATGATAATAGCATTGTCTTGAACCCTCCGTCATGTACGAGGTACAGAATAGACCTCTGGGGATGCATCTATTTAGGCGGGACGATCGCTAGATAAACTATAGTTCCCTCCGCTCACCGTTCACCGGATTCTCCATTTTTACCACTGCATTCCACTTACTATCCCCATTCGGTTGTCAAACGTGGTAGTACCTTGAATGTGCCTAGCACTGTCATGATCATTCAGGGCTTCCGCACACCTTCAGCGTCTATCTTCAGTCAGACACACTCTTGCGAGTTTCTTCTCGGTCAGGGCAGAAAAACATATCTGAAAAGCGCAATCTGTGGCACACTCACGCAGCCCAATCATTTCCTGCTTGCTTGCCTGCGACGAGTCTATCCAACCTTTTCCAACACTATCTTTTTCGGCAGCCCGTCTGCAATCATGGTACGCGTTGATTTGACCTGGTTTAGACTCCTTTACACCAGCTGACCAATACACAGAAAGTCGCAGCATGCTGATTGTTGTTTCTGACGCACAGAGATGCTGGGACCCTGTCGCGTGGGTGCTGAACGAGAAACAAACAGCGCCTCCGTTCCTCCACCCCGCCTACCAAGCAGTGCATATTAATTTCCTCGAGGAACGTTGAATCTTACATGGACCGGGATGATTCTTGTTGAAGAGAAAGTATATTGGATTCCCTCGCTAGAAGCGGAGAAAGTCTCATCCTGGGAAAAACGCGTCGATCTAGCAATCATCCTAGCTCGCTAGGTTCTCTCCAACAGTCGCGTCTCACCCACATCAGTAATCGCGCTCATGGCCAGAAAACGAAAATGCTTGGAAACCGCATCCAATCGTCCTACCAAGCAACACAAAGCGGCCAATCATGGGTCCGTCGGCCCGCATCATATTTCGTCCTCTGTACACCATGCTGTGCTGTCAGCCTACTATCCGAGGGTTTGCACGCTGCGGAGTTATCTTCTGGGAGCCCTACCTGCCACGTCACGTACTCGAAGAGAGAAGCTCGCAAGATTTGGAAAGAATGACGCTGTTGACCTACTCGACAACTCTCTGGTGGGTGTGCTCAAGAACACGTCAACATCTGTTAAGCAGTCGCGGAAAACCGACTTTGCTACGTTCACTCAAAGTCAGTCCCGGGTAACTGGTGCCGATACTGGCCGCGCACAACCATGTTCTATAGACGAGGTAAGACATACATGCGGGTTGGGTAGTTGGCTTTATTGATCCTGATTGATTTTTCCAGGTTGTGGATTTTGTGATTTGGTCGCTGTTCAGAAGCAATTTCGGGAACAGGGCTCGGCCTCAGCACATTCTTTGCCACGGACTCCAGAGAGGCAGATCTCCTCAGGATCATGGATATCAGCATGGAGGACCGGCACCTATCTTGCCTGGTATCATCCGAAGACATCCCAATGAAAATATAGACATTCTAAAATCGTCGGCTTGGTCAGATGTCCTCTCTTTGCTGGGAGTAGACGGTGAAGTCATCTTTTCAAGTTTGCTCCTTGACTGTGGTGTCTTTACACCCATAACAAGTGGAAAAGACAATTATTTCCAATTGAGTGGTATCCCAATCTCGGAGCTGCCTCTGGTTGAGCATTCTACTGAAGGGAAAGATGTTTCGCGTGCGAGAAGGGATATTCGACACTCGAAACTCGGCGACATCCGTTTCGTCAGAAACCGCATGTTCTATGCTCGATCGTCCTCCAGTGCTGTTGGCAAGGTCAAAGGCGGACTTCATCATACGCATATTCTGCAAAGATTGACAAATGCTGCGGAACAGCACCAGGCAGTCCATCTCTTGAAGTATGTCTTTCCACGTCAGTTCGGTCTGCACAATGCTTTCACGTCAGTGGTTCACTCGAGCGAAACCGTGCATCGGTTCAAGGACTACACAGTCCGCGAACAGGAGATAGCCAGGCAGCAAAAACGACCGTTAAATTGGGCTCCGCGTCGCCTTCGGGGAGAGCCAATGCAGCTCGTCCAGAAAATTCACAAAAATCACAGATCATGTTCTTACAGCCAGCTTTTGAGGCATTACTGCCCTCTTACCTTCTCTGAATACGCCTCCTCTTTCCGTCAGAGCGACGAGGCACCACCGGCTTCAGGCTCTGAAAACTTCATCACACAGGTCAACCTGTCCGGGTTGCCACCAACAGTGATGGACAGTGCTTGCAACAGCAACTATGCAGATTCTTCCTTTTTACCGCATTCAACTCCTTTGGCGAGAGTCTCGGCATTCTGCCGCTCGGTCATCTGTCATCTGCTACCACGCGATACATTTGGCAGCGGTCCGAGGGGTCAGCAGAACCATCAACTCATGATGAACAGGATCGACGAATTTGTTCGAATGCGCCGCTTTGAATCCATGAGCCTGCATGATACTGTCCAGAGAATCAATGTGAGATCTATTTCATGGCTATCAAGCCCAAAATGTCTGGAGCAGAGGACCTCCAGGTCTGATTTCGTTAAGCGCCTAGAGGTCTTCCACGAATTTGTCTACTATGTTTTTGATTCTTTGCTCATACCTATCATTCGAGCTCATTTCTACGTTACCGAAAGTTCAACCCATCGACATCGGTTATTCTACTTCCGAAAAGACATATGGCGCAAACTCTCGGAGCCCACTCTTGCAACGTTGAGACTGAGCATGTACGCACCAACCAGACCCGCTGAAGCTCGACTCAAGCTACAATCTCGAGCATTGGGATACAGCCATCTGCGACTGCTGCCAAAAGACCAAGGCGCCCGACCTATAATGAACTTGAGGCGGAGGCAACCAAAGTTGGCTGGTGGCACAAGACTTCTTGGAGACAGCATCAACACCCAACTGGCACCTATCTTCCAAGTGCTCAACTTTGAACGAGGACGTAACCCTGCACCACTAGGCTCTGCTTTGTTATCTGTTGGTGACATCTATGGAAAGCTGACCGATTTCAAGAGGGTACTCCGCCCGGAGTCGACTCTGTTCTTTGTTAAGGTCGACATCAAATCGTGCTTTGACACCATTCCTCAGCAGCCACTACTGCAGATTGCAAGCTCCCTGCTTAAAGAAACCTCATATCGAACAACTAAACACCTTGAGATCAAATCGACGAACACGGGTCAGCGCACTGGTCAGGGAGGCCTGAGACGGCGTTTCGCGGGCGTTGCCCGCCCAACTGATACACGCGCGGTGCTTTCGGAAGCATCAGTGTCCAGTATGGCCTCTGGGAAACGTCACGTGGTTTTTGCGGACACAGGGAACAACAGAATATGGGCTCGGGATTCGTTGCTAAAGCTTCTTCAAAATCATGTGTGCGACAGTATGATTAAGATTGGCAAAAAGTACATGAAACAAATTGAGGGCATCCCCCAAGGATCCATCCTCAGCAGCCTTCTTTGCAGCTACTTTTACGGTGCGTTCGAGCGGAACGAGTTAGGCTTCCTGGTACCGGAGTCGTGCTTGTTGCTGCGGCTCATCGACGATTTTCTGCTTATCACGACGGATGACAACCTAGGTCGACGATTTCTAGAGGTCATGGTAAGTGGTGACCAGCATTACGGAATCCAGGTCAATGCCGAAAAGTCCCTGGTCAATTTTGACGTGATGATCAACGGTCAGAAAGTGCCGCGGATACACGGCAGCAACTTCTTCCCGTACTGTGGGTTGGGTATCCATATGGAGACGTTGGAGGTGAAGAAAGACAGAGAAAAGAAAGACTGCTTTATCGGCAATGCTTTAACGGTCGAGAGCGGTTTGAGACCCGGAACGATTTTGAAACGGAGAATCCTGTCATCTCTCAAACTGCAGATGCATTCCATGTTACTGGATATGTCACTGAACAGCCGAAGCCAAGTGATCTCAACGTTGCTGGGCAATTTTACCGAGACAGCAATGAAGATGCACCAATACGTTTCGGGATTGGCAACAAAGAGACGACCGTCGCAGAAGTTCCTCGGTGACATGATAGAAGATCTCATCTCGGCGGGACACAAGATTTGTTGCGAGACGAATGGCAGTCGTACGCATGTCAGACACATCACCCGGCGGCAAATGTGTTGGATCGCCGCAGCCGCTTTTGAAAGGGT